AAGCAGTTGTTCAAGTATATTATTTCGTCTTTCACCTAGTACATCTCTCCTTCAGGAAATCCCACACCTGGCGGGAACAGGACCCCTGCACTTTCTATTCCTCCTAGATGTGAAAAGGTGAAGACCATGGAGGTGACTTAAGTATCCATAGAGCTGGAAAGGATCTTCAACAATTTTCCTTGTCAATATGTTGTCCTAAGGAAAATTCTTAAACAGATAATTGATGACTTGTTCCCAAAAGGAAATTAGCAGAGGGACTCACCAGAGAGAAGAAAGTCTTTAGGTACTAACCTTATATGGACTTTGGTTATCTTGTGTCTCCGTTTCCTTGCCCACACTCACGCCTTGTCACCTACCCCTTGACCTGACTTTCAATGTCACCTTGTGTCACAAAACTTGGGGTGAGAAGAAGACTTGGGAGTCCTCTAAGATCCACACTTTTCTAAATAGAAACGTGGAAAGGTTAAATAATTTGCTTAGATCATCAGATAGCGTGACCAGGTAGTTTGCCTCTAAACTGAGACAATCTTGAGAGTGAAAAGGAGTGTCATTAATGTGATATTAATATTAATATACAGGGAAAATAGTCATAATCCAGACCTGTTCCAGGAAAACAAACACATGGTCACCCTGTCCATAGACCATATGCTGTTTTGCTGTGTATCCTTCTTAACACTTTCCATTCTTTCTGGCTGTTCCTTGCATTTCACATAGATAAATGATGATGTCAGGGGGAGAGAGGTCCTGGAGAGAGGTCCAGGTGGGAAGTTAGACTGCCAGCTCTTGCAGAGTCAAGACATCATTATCTGTTTATTGTAGGATCAGGGTGAAAAGTGAGACATCATTCCCTTCTCTCCCTTAGGTGAGAATGTTAACCAAACCATGGTGTTCTGGGAATTTTAAGGAACCACGCTCTGCAAAGGCAGGCTGGGAGAGTGAGGCGGGGTGTTTAGCTATTCCCATCCTCATCTAGCTCCCTATTCTGGCTTCTCCCACCAGCTGATGTGACCTCGGACCCTGAGACTGCTCATCCTAGCCTAGTCCTGTAGGAGGATCATAAGAGCATCAAGTTTGTGGAGACTAGACTTTGGGATCTCCCCGACACACCAAGGTGTTTCACCTTTTACCCTTGCATCCTGGCTACTGGGGGTTTCACTTCACGTCAACACTACTGGGAAGTGGAGTTGGGCGGCAAGACCCACTGGGTAGTGGGTTTGTGCTGGGACACCATGAGCCGCAAGGGCGAGTTGACTCCACCGTCTGAGACTGGCTACTGACTGGTGCAGCTGTGGAATAGGGACAAATATGAAGCCACTACTACATCTTTTCCCCTTTGCACATCAAAGTGAAACTCAAGCAAGTAGGCATCTTCCTAGACTATGAGGCCAGCACACTGTCTTTTTACAATGTCACAAGTTGCTCTCATATCTACACCTTCACTGATACTTTTACTGAGAAACTTTGGCCTCTCTTCTACCCAGACATCTGGGCTGGTCAGAAGAATGCTGCACTACTTACCGTCAGACCCCCAAAAGATTGGGAGTGACAGGCTGGAATGTGAGAATAACTGGGTTGAGGCAGGATCAAGTTTTCTGGACCTTCCTATGTCCTGCTGTTTTCATGTCTGCCTGGTTCCGGTCCTGAATCATCTTGGAGAAACAACTCGATGTCGAGGATGATTTGTGTGGAGGAGAAGGTAGGACTGGGCTGTAATGAGGAGCACAGCTGTGTCTCCCTTCTGTCAGGGTGGGGAGCTGGCTCCTAGGAGATTGTCTCCCCTGAAGTCCATCAGGTTTTTTATTGCACAAGGATGGATTGGGAAGAAGGGAGAGGCTTTTCCAGAAACAATCTGTGAGAAGATCTGACTTGTTCAAACTGGAGAAAAAAACAGAAACTCCCGTTCATCTTTTTAGGGTTTTTTTTTTTTTTTTCTAACCCAGAACACTCTTGTTTCTAGGGTTAGATCACAGGGGTCTGTGTACCTCTAGATGGAAAAAAGATGAAAGACAGTTGCTCTCATGGGTCTAGAAGTTGAGGAGTTTTTCTGAGGCCAGAGAATGGGCACCAAGAAAGTCAGAAGGAAGATCAGGGAAGGAAGCTAAAGGAACAGATTCTTAAGGACTTACAATGGGGAGGGAGATTTCTATGGTCTTCTACTCCCAGTGTAAAGTTTCTATTGCGAGTAGGATTGCCCAGAGGTAGGAACATGAGGAGAAGAAGAGGGTGAGAAGAAAGCAGAGGAGCACCCAAGTCCCTCCCTCAGCCTTAGGGGTAGTTGGCTTGTTGCCTACCTCTGAGAAGCCTGTCACCTTACTCTCCTCCAGAGTCAAGATAGAAGAGATGCTACAAGATACATGCGTCCTTTCACTGCTTTCCCAAGTGAAGGTGGAAAGAAAAGTCAGGTATTAGAGGAAAGAGAAGAGTGTTTCTATCCAAAGCCCTAACCCTAGAAAATGTTACTAAGTAGCTATTTCCAAATTCTCAGCCTTGTCATCTGGCCAAGGTGTCCAAGCCAGAAGGAGAGGTAACAGAGTCTTTCTGACCCTGAGGATAGGGTAGAAGAGGGTGGTGTGTATAAGGAAGGACCAGATAGGCAACTGTCTTTGGCCTCTGTGCATTTGACCTAGAACTGGTGTTCACAAGAGCCAGACTTTTGCTTGTTTGTTGCCATCCCTCACCCTTTGCCATTTCCCTTTTCAAAGAATGTAAATCATTTTAATGTTAGTACAAAATAAGCAACCTATAGGGTACATATGTTCTTTTTTTTTTTTTTTTTTTGAGTTGTAGTTTCACCCTGTTGCCCAGACTGGAGTGCAGTGGCCACTCCCGGCCACCACAGCCTCGACCTGCTGGGCTCCGGCGATCCTTCCGCCTCAGCCTTCCAAGTAGCTGGAACTACAGGCGCATGCTACCATGCCCGGCTAATTTTTGATTTATTGTGGAGATGAGGTCTTGTCAAGTTGCCCAGGCGGGTCTCGAACCCATGGGCTCAGGCAATCCACTCACCTCAGCCTCCCAAAGGCGCAGGATTACAGGCTGAGCCACCGAGCCCGGCCATATGTTCTTATAAAAGGTAAAATGATACATGCTAAAACAAACTAAAGCAATTTGGATTATCTGCTGTTTAGATCATCTTCAGAGAAGACTGAAACAGAAACTGCAGTTTACTGAGGGCATTTCAGGTTCTCCCATCATCTCATCAGGACTTTTTCCAGATTCTCCTCCTCCTACTTTTGTGCCTTGACTGTGGTTCTTTGTGGCAAGATACTTTGGTTGATAAAAATAACGTGTGACAAAGGATCCACCGAAGTGATCTCTGTGTTGTTTGGTCATTTGGTGATGGCTTTGTGTTGATGTGTAAGAATCACTGGGAGTTAAAAATGTTTCTGAGTTTCACCCTCAGTGATTGATCAAGGTCTGGGATGGGCCTGAGCATCCACATTTTAAATACCTCTCTCATTTGAGTCTGAGGACCCTTGTGAAACTATTCCTAGAGGAGATTTCAGCCATTTACTTCCTCCCAGCTGGAAGACTGGTTCTCTGCCCCAGTCTGGCAGGGAGTCTAAGAGAGGAGAAAGGTCTTACCCTCTCCTGATGCAGACTGCCCTCTCCCATCTCAGGGTTTATTAAGTTCTGCCCATCCAGGTCTCAAACCTCAGATTCTAATCTCAGGAACTGGTAGTCATTAACTGAGTCACAGGATGCCAGACAGAACAAATGGGAGACAGAAAGAGGTAGAGGAAGGGATGTGAAGTGGATGTCTGTGGGAGGTATGAGAGGACCGTAATAAAGTATACCATAGACTTAAGTTAGGAGCATGCTATAACCCAATAAATATGTAATCGGCTTGTGAACAATAGCACAGCCAATTTTAGTTTTCTGTCTTAAAACATATAACTGTTTAAAGTTCCAGTTATGGGAAAAACTGCAAAGCTCCAGTTATTCTTCCCTTGTCTCACTTTCCCCTTAGCAACATCCAATCAGGTGCCAGGGGGTAATCACCTAAGTTTCCAGATGTCTCTGCAACTTCCCTAGCTAGTGGACCTAGGTCAGCCCTAGTCAGGCTAGCCAATCCTCCATGATTAAGCTGACGACCAGAGGTTACTACCCAAGTAAATGGTAACACAACTGAAAAGCCCCCCCAAATTCCTCCTCCCTTTGTGTAAAAGCATAAAAATCATCTGCTTAAGGAAATCAGGGCCTCTAAATGTACTCCGCTGTGTTGGTTGTCGACAGAGGTCCAGGCTCGAGCTTGCAAATAAAGACCCTCTTGAACTTTCATTGGAATTGGCTCTTGGTGGTCTCTCGGATTGAACTTTCGGCCACTACAGGTAGGGTGATGTTTTAGGGACAAGGGATTCTGTTGACAGGTTTCTTTGCTGTCCCCAAGACTAGAAATTCGAAGCAATTCACTCATCATGTGAGGATCACCTACTGTGTGTCCAGCACTGCATAACAAGAAATGTGTTTCTTTGGTAAGTGGAAAAGTGTTAAACTGTGCTTTCTGAGAACCAGGGGCCCTCTTCCTTCCTTCCACCGCCCTCATGATCCTTCCCACTTTCACCTCCACTGGCATCAGTACTTTACTTGAATATCCATTCTTTTGATCTTGCAGGCCTCTGTCTTTTGGCTTCAGGAGAGTAGGGCAGAAGGTCTAGCTGGGTATAAATTGCACATAACTCAAGCTATCTGCATAAGGATACCAAGTCTACTGTCCTGGAAATATTTAGCAGTCTTAAGAGCCTCTGCTGCTTCATTAGGCTTTGCAGTCTCTACGCAATATAAACTGATCAGGAGCTTGAGGAAGATGAAGAAATCCAAAACTCATCAAAGGACTGGACCCTGTACTTGAATCGCAGGAACTGGGTTTACAAACAGATGGGTCTGTGAGGCCCTGGGGTGACACTAGAGTAAGAGCCATGGGAGGAGGGCCCACAGGCTAAAGGACTACACTTCCCGGGAGGCCTTGCGCGGACACCCGGGGCGGGGCTATATAAGAGGCGGAACCTCGGGTGGTCTTGCTTGCGGCCCTGCACCTTAGGTGATGGCGGGGCCGGTGAAGGACCGCGAGGCTTTCCAGAGGCTCAACTTCCTGTACCAGGTGATTCCGCGACGAGGGGCGCACGGGGGACGGGGCTCTTCGCTGCTGGCTCCCGAGTAACAGCTCCCCTCCCCCAGGCCGCCCACTGTGTCCTTGCACAAGACCCCGAGAACCAGGCGCTGGCGAGGTTTTACTGCCACACGGAGAGAACCATCGCGAAGCGGCTCGTCTTGCGGCGGTGAGACAGCC